CGGACAGTTGAGATTGTTAAGTTAATAATGCAAAAATATTTAGAATCAAAGGAGGTTGTTAAAGATCATAATTTAGTATTATTTAAAAAAAAAAATTATTTTGAGTGACCACCTATTTTCATATTCTTAGCAAAAAAAAGATATTTTTGTTATACAAATAAATTATAGTGAATCATGTGACATGCTTAAGCTAATCCAAAGCCCAACCAACATTAAGTTACCCGTATCTGGAAGAATATTAAAAACGAACAAAAATTTCAAATTGCACTAATGTTTAGGACCAGACCAGTAATTGAGCCGGGCCTAACTGAAATCCGATGAGTCGGTCTGGCTATATTTTAGTTGAGTTTAATTTATAGCGAGTCAAATCGAGTTTGAGTCATCTTGTTCAACCTAATCAATTTATGAGTTGAGTTTGAGCTTTCTATCTATTGACCAATCAACAAAAGATGACTCGGTTGACCAACAAACGCCAAACTTGCTTAGCGAAAAGAGTTGTGTTGAAAGCATCTAAATTGCGAAAGTCTAAACTGTAAGATAAATATGATAGACATATGAATTGTAGTTTTTTTCTTATATTATTCTTTGTTAATTGGAGGGCTACATATACAACTGTAGGGATGTTCTAAAGGCTACAGTAATACGACAATTAAGGCTAAACTGTATAATCAAGGATTTGATTGAGGATCAATCAAGGATTTGATTTGTATTTGATTCTGCCTCATTTTCCCTATTATGCCCCCTCAAGATGGAGTTCAAGGGATGAACACCAATCTTGCTCCGTAAATCTTGAAGTCGTAGGCCTGCGAGTGGTTTCGTTAAGGCATCGGCAAGCTGATCTTTGAAGGAGACATGTGAAACACGGAGACTTCCGCGTTGAATCTTTTCTCGAACAAAGTAAAAAAAACAAGGGCGATGTGCTTCATGCGCGAGTGAAATATTGGATTGGCACACAGGTAGGTGATGCAACATTGTCCCAATAGATAGCAGGTATGGTTAAATTTAGTATACCAAGTTCGTGAAGTAGAGATTGAATCCAAGAGATTTCAGAAGCCGTTGATGCGACTGCACGATATTCAGCTTCTGTCGAGGCTCGAGCTACTGATCGTTGTTTCTTAGAGCTCCACGAGATTGCATTTGATCCTAGAAAGATGACATAGGCGCTGGTAGAAGTACGATCATCAATGTTGCCGGCCCAGTCGGCATCAGAGAATGCATGTAATGATGGTAAAGAGTCCCGTCGAAAATGAAGACCATGATGGAGAGTACCCTGTAAGTATCTTAATAACGTTTGACAGATGACCAATGGCCTGTGGTTGGCCGATGCATGAATTGAGATAATTTGTTAACCACGAAAGCAATATCCAGATGTGTAAAAGATAAGTATTGTAGACCACCAATAATGGATCTGTATTCTGTTGCATCTGTGAGAGAGGTGCCATCATGAAGCGTTGGAGTGTGGTTCGGGGACATAGGAGAAGTGGTCTCTTTGGCATTGCTCATTTTTGCTTTCACTAGAAGATCATGAATGTATTCTTGTTGAGAGAGAAATACACCATCTGATGTTGGAATGACTTCTACATCGAGAAAATATGATAATGGGCCAAGATCTTTGACGGAAAATCGTGCTGCAAGTTTGGTAATAAAATGTTGAATGTGGTCTGCATTTGTACTTGTGACAATTAAATCATCCACATATACTAAGACAAAAATTGTTAGATTACTGCGTTTATAAATAAATAATGAGGTATCTGCTTTTGAATTTACAAATCCACGAGAAATGAGAAATTGTTTCAACTCATTGTACCAAGCTCTTGGCGCTTGTTTGAGACCATATAATGTTCTCTTAATGACAAATATGATGAGGATGGTGTGGGTCAACAAAACCTGGAGGTTGAGCCATGAAAACATTTTCTTGAAGGGTACCGTGTAAAAATGCATTGTTAACATCAAAGTTGGCGAATGGGCCAGTCGTTAGTGATAGCAAGGCTGATGAGAAGACGAATTGTGGTTGGTTTAACCACAGGTCTAAAGGTTTCATGGTAATCTATATCAGGGCATTGATGAAAGCCCTTAGCAACAAGGCGTGCTTTGTATCGGTCGATAGAGCCGTTCGAGTTTCTTTTAATACGGAAAACCCATTTGCAGCCAACTACGTTTTGACTTTCTTCGGAAGGAACAAGATCCCACGTGCCATTGCGGATTAGAGCGTTGAATTCGTCGGACATTGCTTGCCGCTATTTTGGATTTTTTAAGGCTTGGGAGACACATATGGGTTCAATAGGCATTTGAGTAGTAGTTGTGTGCATGAAGTACTTTCGGTTGGGTTTAGCGATATTATTTTTTGAGCGTGTTTGCATGTGATGGTCATTAACAGTGTTGGAATTAGGAATATGTTGTGGGTGCGAATTTTCGACAGGCAATGATGAACATGGTGAGGAAGCACCTGGTAAAGAAGTAAGGGAAGTTGATATAGAGGGACTGGACAAATTGTGAGAGATGGTTGAAGATGCGGTTTCTAAAATGGGAGTATTAGCAATACTTTCAGTAACCTCTTCATGTAATTCAGTGGATCAGAATTGGTCTTGAGAGAAAGATGGAATGTCATTTGTATTGGATGGTGAAGAGTATGTCGTATTAGGGATAACATCAGTGAGTGGAGTTTGTTTAGATATTGGAAGTATAGAAAATGGAGGAAGTGTAGAAGTATTTGGTATGGTTTCATTTGTTGAATTAGGAGTATAGGTATGAGAAGAGGTTAGAAAAGGAAATATATTTTCGACAAAAGTGACATGACGAGATATGTAAATTTTCTTTTTAGTGGAGTTATAACATTTATATGCACTTTGTGTAAGGGAATATCCTAAAAAAATGCAAGGTTTGGACTTAGAATCAAGTTTACTTGAAACATATGGCCGAAGCCAGGGATAGCACAATCAGCCAAATATTTTTAATTTGGACACATTGGGTGGGTGGCCAAATAATTTTTCAAAAGACGAAATCATGTTTAGTTGAACTTTTGGCATACGATTGATTAAATAAACAACAGTTTCAAAGGCGTGAGGCCAAAAGGACTGCGGCATAGACGCATGATCGAGAAGAGTGAGGCCAGTTTCAACTATATGGCGGTGACGCCGTTCAGAGAAACCATTATGTTCGGGGGTATGAGGTGGAGATGTGAGGTGAGAGATGCCATTAGCAGATAGAAAAGATTTAAGTGAGATAAATTCACTACCATTGTCTGTAAATAAGGTGATGATAGGTCGTTTAAAAAACTTTTCGACAATGGATTTAAATCGAGCAAAGATGTTAAAGACTTCAGATTTATTTTTCAATGGGTAAAGCCAAATATATCGAGTGAAATGATCAACAAAGATGACATAATATTTAAAATTATCAGTGGAATAAATTGGAGAACTCCAAACATCCGAAAATATTAACTCCAAAGGAGCATTGCTTGTGAGAGACGATTCTCAAAAGGGTAATTTATGGAGGTCTTAATCTCCAAATTCCGCGTTCTTCCTGTATCATTATCACAATTGCTTCCGCAGCAGCTGGAAGCCAAGTTGGTTACACCCATACCTCCCAGACCAGTATCAGATCCACCTCCATATCACATGGGAGGAGCAGAGCACTGGACTGATAGATGTTACAATCTGAGACACCGGGTGCAAGATCTTAATTGACAAAGAACTTCTTAAGCTTGAACCACCAGAAGAGAAGTCGAGTGTGATGCAGAATCCGCTTCCCTCGCATGGGAATGATAATGCTGGTCCATATAGTAATGCAGTCAATGGATTCCACTCGTTATGCCTTTCACTCCTCCATAAAGAGCGAGTCAAAGCTTTAGTCTTGAGTTTTTTGCTTTCCTTGCTAGGTCCAATAGGCTGAAAGGGGGTGAGGGCTTGTTGCTTCAAGAAAACCTACATGGCTGGAAAAAGGGGCACAGACAGAACCACTCTAAGTCTTTCATCGCCGCATGAACGAGACCCCGGAAAAAAAGAGCATCCGACCGTGATTCAGTTGTCAAGATCGAGACACACGTCGTACTTTCTCCAACCCGACTGGAAATTCGACTAAAGGCAGGCTCATCTGGCTTTTCTAGCTTCACTCTCTCACCAGATGCTTAGTCAGAGCCATTCTCGTTGCTTTCTCTCGCCTTAGCCTTCCTCAGCCGTTATTGCAATGACAGGAATTACACGTAAATTTTGAGGGCATATTAGAAGATAGGTCGAGAATATTAGAAAAGACAAGGTGATTAAGAAATTTAGATGATGGATGACCAAGACGAGAGTGCCATTGAGATGACGATGCTTTAATGGAAGAAAATACAATTAAAGGAGGATTGCCAGAAGTGTATTTTGGCCATTCATAAACACCATCTTTAGTTTTTCCTTGCGTTAGAATTGCTCCGGTGTGAAGATCCTTCACAAGAAAATCAAATGGTAAGAACTCAACTGATACTTTATTATTTTTGCAAAATTGAGAAACAAAAATTAAATTCTTTTTCATGCTAGGCACACACAAAACATTAGATAAATTAAAAGAGTGAGAGGATGGAGAAATAGATGAAGAACCAGTGTGTGTAATTGCAGACTAGTTCCATCACCGATAAGGATATCATCGGATCCGATGTATGGTGAGTGGAGTGATAAGTTTTGGAGATCAGCTGTAACATGGTGAGATGCACCACTGTCTAGAAGCCAATCAGAGGTTGATGGATTGGTTGGAGCAGTGTAGTGGACTAGTGGTGCATAGGTTGGACCGGGTGATCGTGGTTGATTGGAATTCCAGAAGGAGTACTGATAAGTAGGGCAACGACGAGCAGAGTGTCCTTGTTGATTGCAAAGTTGGCATTTCCCTAAGTACGGACGTGGATTAAAATTGTTTGTGGGAGGGGTTGTCGTTCTAGGTTATGCGTAAGGGCGTTGTTGAGATGGTAGATAAGGTGGTGCTTTATATGTTGAGTTTGGTCGGATTGGGTGTGAATTTGGTGAATTTCAGTAACGTGGTAATGATTTGTGTGTCGGGTTTGCGCTGGCAGAGACTTTTAGATTTTTTGCAGTTTCAAGTTGAAGGTAAGCTTCGTGATTGATTAATTTTTCGTGCAACTCATCAAATGTAGTGGTTGTCTCACAAACACGGATGGCATCGCTTAGAGTTTTGTACTCATCATCAAGGCCTCCGAGGATCTTAAGAATGAGATCTTCGTTATTGATTGGAGCATTCAGCATGGCAAGATCATCGGCAATGGATTTCACGGTTTGCAAATATTCAGTCATAGATTGAGTTCCTTTCGTGAGGATACGTAAATGTTCTTTCAATTGACTAATGCGACCACAAGATGGTCTGGCATATGTGTTGGCTAGAATCAACCAAGCCTCGTGTGAAGTTTTTGCAGAAGCAATAAATGGAATCAAGGTAGGGGATAGAGAACCAACAATTGCATTAAGAATAAGGTTATCTTGGCGAATCCAAAAAGAGTAATTAGGATTGTGAATCTCTCCTTCAGTGGTTGAGAGAAACGGAGAAGGACAAGGTTTTGTTCCATCAATGAAACCTAACAAATCAAAACCAACGAGAAGAGGGTGGAATTGGAATTTCCACGAAGTGTAATTTGTGGAGGTGAGTTTTAATGGAATTTGAATAGCAGTGTTGATGATGATAATGGTATTAAATGATTCAGGGGTGCTAAGGATTGTGGGTGTGGTGGTTGAGACATTTTCGGAAGATGTAGGTGTTGTAGCAGAAGTGGTGGTGGAATCTCCCATTGAGGGAATAATTGTTTATTGTTGTAGAGCTATTGGCTCTGATACCATATAAGATAAATATGATAGACATATGAATTGTAGTTTTTTTTCTTATATTATTCTTTGATAATTGGAGGGCTATATATACATTCTAAAGACTACAATTATACGACAATTAAGGCTAAACTATATAATCAAGGATTTGATTGAGGATCAATCAAGGATTTGATTTGTATTTGATTCTGCCTCACCACACACCAAAATTTTTAGTCATGACCAACTATCGCCATCGAGCCCAGTGGTCAGTGGATACCTTTACCTTTAGTGTTTTCCCACCAAAAATTGGCCATAAGACTCTCAAGATCTTCGGTAAAGTATCTACGGAGCTTGAACAACTCTTAGCATAAGTCGAAATATATAGCTTGAATCAAAGCCTTGACAAGAATTTATTTCCCACCGTTTGATAACCATTTTTCTTTCTATCCTTGAACATGTTTACAAACCCTATCACGAAGGTTGGCAAACGTTGTTCTCTTACTTTTTCCGACCACCGACTGAAGCCCCAAATATTTATCATATTTGTCTTCCAACTCCTGGAGAGAATAGATTGGATCAGATTAGTATTTGTTGAATTAGTGGATTTGATGAAAACAATGCTTGATTTCTGAAAATTCACCATTATTGGCCCGATGCTTCTTTATATATGTGAAGAATATTTTTGACACATTTTGCCAATGGAAGATTGGCATTACAAAAGATTGTTGTATCATCGTCCAACACAAGATGAGATATCCTAGGATCCCCCTTGCATTCGGTTAAACCCTCAACATGGTCTTGACTTTCCTCTTTTATAAACAAGGCACTTAAGGCTTCAGCATAAAAGATAAAATTATACGGTGATAAAGGGTCACCTTGTCGAATGACTCTTTCTGCCGGAAGCAAACCAAAGGAGCGACCATTGAGCACGAAAGAATAAGAGATCGTGATCACGCGTAACATAACTAAATCTACGAGTGAGTGGGAAAACCCCAACTTAATCATCACTTGATGCAAAAGACCCATTCAATGTATTTTTCTTATATAAGTGAAAAGAGCTAAACTTTCCTACGTGTGGGCGGTTGTCTAATTGCTCGACTTGGGCTTGGGTCAGCCTGCGTCTGACCCTCAAGAACATCAAGTCCTAAACATTTTCCTTGCAAACTCCACATATATTGATTAAAACACGAGAATGAGAATGCTAGCCAAAACAACTTTCTTTCCTCGAAAAGATAAAAACTTTTGTCATTCATGCGCCTGATGATGCTAAAGATAAATCACCTTACGTAATCGAAGTATGATGAGCTAGAAGAGCAAAGTGGATCATTGACTCACGAGCTTGATGACCCCGACATACCTGCGATCAGAGAACACGTAAACTAAGCCGGGGTTGATTCGGCAAAAACCATTATGACGCTCAAGTCAGGTGTATGGATTATAAAAGTCGTAGAGAGAATACGAACAGTTGTATTGTTCGAATATTAAACGTATCTTAACAAATGAATTATAACTTTTATTTATACTGAGCTTGTTGGGCTGAAAGTAATTAATTGTAATTGTCGGCACAAACCTTTCTTGAACGTGATTGGGCCTCGATTGTAGTGGTCTTCGATAGGGCTCGTGACCCAATAGGTTAAGAAATCGTAGGCCTATTGGACCGGCCCAATTAGGCATATCAACGTCCAATATAGATTTGAATTTTTCGTAATATAAGCGGAAATTGGAATGGGGTTTTAAAATATTTTCGAGTTTGGACCAATTTTTTCATTCCAAAATTTGGAATTCCAATTTCCGATTTGTTTTGATCTTTTTCAAACGGAACTGTATTACATATTAGAGTTCGATTTGTGTGAATACATTTGTATATAATATTGCAAAAAAAAAAATAAAAAAAAAAAACTTATCAAGTATATGATATTTGACATTCATGCAATGTATATTGTTCACAAATACAATGAAATAACGAACAATACACGTCCCCAAAAACGAAAATTACAAAAAGAGAATTTCTTAAACACAACCATTAACATATATACAATCCATAAAATTAATAAAGAGAATATTTCTTCACACTCACCATTATATTGCGTTCGTCTTATTGGAACGAGTATCCATGGGCGTCTGCTCTACGGATGAATTGCCTTTGGAACGAGTATCCATGGGCGCCTGCTCTACGGATGAATTGCCTTTGGCGATGTCGGGCCCTGTAAAACATCATAAGCATGTCAACGAATAATCATACGAATGCATAAACTTATATATTTCCTCACACACCTTTTCTAGGGGAGAAAATAAAAGAATTACATTAAGTTGGTTGTGCATTCATTCATTTAATTTTTTGTACGTGTAAGTCGATGAATATATACGTTCATTAGTGTAACCTGTTGAAGATATTAATATTAAATAATATATTTCGCTGACAATTTAAGATTTTGGGTGAGGTGATCGATCATTCAATATGCAGTATATGTATGCCAAATGAAAGGTCCTGAGTTTGAAAAAACTTTCGGTTGAATTGGTCATTCGACGTACACAATAAATATTTTGTGTTGAACAAACTCTACTTGGAGTGAAATGATATTACGATAAGTAATTTTAGGCCCTGGAGAGTCCATTTTTAACTATCTATTTTTAGAAAAAAAATAAAAATTTGTCAAATTTATGTAGAAAATCCGGATTGCAATTCCAAACATTGGGATGTTCATAAAATTTTGAGTTATATTAGAATTAGTATTTCAATCGATTTTGGCCGTATTTAATCATTTTTCGTATTTTTCCAAGTTTAATCAGTTTTCCAATTAAAAAACTAACCGAACCTGACCCGTAACCGAACGAAAAGACTAACCTGTTGAAGCAGCTTCAGCAATGGCAGCTGCTGTTCTAGCTCTGTGGTGATAAATGGCGAAAATACCGACACAAATACCGATAAAAGCGAGAGCGCCAATTGTGCCTCCGGCTATTGCACCCGCATTACTCTTATTTTCGGAGGAGCTACCAATGTGTCTAGTATTTGGTGGAGGAGATGGATTATTATTTGAGCACGAACCCGATGTGTACAAGTTCCCGTTACCGGTCAATCTGATCGTAGTTCAAGAAAATATTATATATGAATATTTATATGTATATGTATATGTATAAATGAAGATTGAAGAGATTAATTAATTATTAAGAATATGATAAATTAATTAAATAGGGTTAGGGATAGATTACCTTAAGTTCAAGTTTTTGTTGCATGCCAGTGTATTTGGTACTTGTCCACTGAAACCATTGTATTCCAAGTTCCTATTGCCAAAATAATTAAGAAGAATCAATGATTTATATATATATATATATATATATATATATATATATATATGTGTGATTGAGTTTTGGAGTTGACTTACAGTTCATGAAGATCTGGAAATGTGCCCAGGAATGAAGGAATTTGTCCATTAATCATGTTCCAGGATAAATCGCTGCAATTAAATATTAAAAACAGTTAAAATTTAAGTAAAAAGAAGAAGGATAAAAAAAATAAAAAAGTAATTTAATGAAGTGGGATAATAAAATTGGTCATGCTTACATTTTCTGAAGCGCATTCATGATACTGAAATCAGGAATTGGCGCAACCAAATATCTGGCGCTAAGTTTCCTGTTTCACATTTTCACATTATTAGTAAACATTTAAAGAATGATAAATAACTTAATAATGATAATAAATTAATAATAATAATAATAATAATAATAATAATAATAATAATAATAATAATAATAATAATAATAATAATAATAATAATAATAATAATAATAATAATAATAATAATAATAATAGTAAATATATATATATATATATATATATATATATACACACACACACACACATGACACACCGAAAGACCCCTGGAAAATTAAAGAGCACCAACTTTCTATTTCAAGAATTGATTACTAACTTAGTGTTTTTTTTTTGGGAATTAAGGAAGCTGCAGCCAACTAACTATATAGGTGCACTGATTAAACCTACATTCCCGTACAATAGTTTGCAAATCATACGAAAGACATAAATCACATTAGACCTACGTAGCACGGAAACGAAAATGACCGACACGGGGAAACGGAGTATCCCAAATATAGGAAAACATGAGTTTGGGGAAACGTGCAAATATTGAAATTATAGGGGTATATTTATAAATATGCTATATAAACATACATAAATAATTTTTACATATTTTCATACAAACATATTCAAATAAACTTTACTATCAACTATCGATTTGCAATTGATCATTAAATCGTGTAAATAATCAGCGAAACAACAAAAATCTTTGAAATTTTTTCCTATTCAAACATATTTCTAACTTTTCAGAAATTGCAAAAATAGCGCAGAAGGTGTCCGACAGGTGTCCAAAACATAGAAACGTTAAGAATCTGAAGTTTCCCTACTACATAGTACTAGATTAACCATGAACAATAATTAAAAGAAACTGTAATTAAAAAAGAAGAAGAAAAGCTTCATATTAAATATATAAACAGTAATTAAAAATGAATTGAAGTATATTAAAATAATTAAATAAAATTCTTACAAAGCTATTACGCGTGGTCTGGCATCAGAATTACATACAATCCAAGTCCATCTGGGTGTAAAGCATGGGTCCGGATTATACTCCATCAACAATGGATAGTAATACTGAATCAACACATTAAAAAAAATTAAATTAAATACGGGTTCTATAATTAATTTCTGTTAAGACAAATCAAATCAGATTGATCATATTATTATAACTTCATATGTATGTATGTATGTATGTAATTATTATAGATACAAACCATCATTGTAATTTGTTACGCCATTGTAACTAGAATCCGAGGCTAGGGAAACGCCTTTTGTCGCGTTGAAGAAACTGCGTTGGAGATCGAGTACTTTATCATGACCGGTACGATTAGTCTTCTGCAACGACCTTCCTGAATTTTTTTTTTTCCAATAATGTAAGAAACAAATTAGCAAATTTAAACATAGATATACATTGAAACAAAAACACACACACACAAAGGATTATATATATTACCATAAGCTGATGCAAAGAAAAAAAGGAATGTGAAGAAGAGAGAGAGAAGATAGGTAGACATGGTTCTCTTCATAGAAATAACTAAATGGGATGAACTATCAATAATATATGATTATATGAATATGTGAAGATTTATCTATGTGTTTGACCAACTGGATTGTACGGCAAACAAGTTATTTTTCATGGGGTTCCAGAGTTGACTTCTCTTCGATACAGGTACATAACATAGTAGAATTTCGATAAATTAATAATCTCGCTTAAATAACAATTTTCTACGGTCCTGACTCGGTAAAATGGTACTAAATTATTAGCTCGATAATTTAATATTTCGCTAAATTAATAGAATTTTGTCAGTTCCGACTATATTAAATATTAATTTATAGAGGTTTAACTGTATATGTTTATATACGGCTTAATCCCACTTTGCATCCTTGAAATATATCAGTTTGGCACTTTTCACCCTCGAAACAAATTAATAGCAGTTTGCACCCTCAAAAAATAATATATCATGCATAATGCACTCCACATGCATTTTTAAAGCTAATAAAGATAATTTAATATTTTTAGTGGTATTTAAAAATGATATTTTTATCATTAAAAAAATATTTTACGAAGATAAAAAATTCTTCAGTTATTTCGTTATCAACTTATCTGAAAACCATATTTTCTTCCAAATATTTCTATCTAATATTTCCACCAATTACAATAAAAGATCTATCAATCGAATACTTTTGTGATAAAAGTTTATTTGATTTTATGTTCTAAGAAAATATAATTTTTTGTTTCAATTATTCGGTGTGATTTTTATTTTTTGCACTTGTCCGCTCGAAATTAGGTTGGAGGTTGAAGAAAATAACAATTTAATTTGTTATTTTGCACCCATGAAAAAAAATCAATAAAAAATGAATTATCCTTTATTATTCAATTAAGGATGCATTGGATGATTTATTGTGTTTTGAGGGTGCAAAGTGCTATTATTGTTTTTCAAGAGTGCAAAATACCAAAAAGCTCTCTATTCGAGTGTGCAAAGTGGGATTAAGCCCTTTATAATATGTATATTTGACTTTATGTTGTTTAATGCAAACTGCCATTTTTTTTGTAATTATATTATTCTTTTGACTTTAATTAAGAAGATGAGTTAACCAATTATATGTGCGTATCCATAAACTTGTTCATTTGGTACTTATTGACCAGTTAAATATGTTTAATAATCTATTTCATCTTGACCTAAAGGCGAGGTAGTGGGGTACTGGTTTGTGAGAGGATTCCAAGCATAGTTTATAAGTAATAGAATGATTCGTCACGCTTTTTAAATTGGATGATATCTTAGAAATAATTTATTGTAAATGCATACGAATTTTCAAGAATCAACATGTCGAATTAATAAGAATTAATTATGCAGAAACATAAAATCCACTACACCAAACTACACTTTGGGCGATGTTTTTTTGCGACGAAAAAACTTTGTTTGCGATGAAAATTATAATTTTGCGAAGTTTATGTGGCGACGAAATGAGCTGGGAAAAAAGTCAAAAAAGTGGCTGTCCCAAATATTTGCAACGCATTTCCAGTAACGTCGCATTTTCGGAAATGTACCTTAGTCTATGCCTCAATGGAATTGAATCTAACTTCTTTTTCGAAATTATGGAGCAAAGTGATTGTGTGAATTATAAATCAAACTTGTAAGTATTGTCTGTTGCGGTGTCGCTTTGTAATTGAGGTGTGTTGAGTTTTTTCGTACGTCGAATTTCGGCTAGGTGTTGAGAAGAAGGGTGGATTTGCGATGGCAACGACGATGAAGGGATGGTTGTTCGTGTACGGGGAGGACGTCGTAGTTGATTAACGTTAATCACCTATAAAGTCATACATACTTGATTGACGTAAATCGACTACAAAATTCATAATCGATTGACGTACGACTATAAATTTTTCGATGTTGATGTGTTTTTTGTTCCGGGCAGTAGCAGAGGAGTAAAAACTATGCGACGTATGGCGGCGGTGCCCTAGATTTGTCCACAATTTTGTAAATTATGTCGGTGTTTTCGACAGAAAAAATACATTGGCGTTTCAAGATAAAAAGACACTGGAGCCTTAATTCGGACACGTCC